GTTAGGATAATCCTCAAAGGACCTTAAGTCTAAACCTCAAAACTTTTTAAAACCCTCTATTTCAAACTTACTTGTAACAATGCATTTCTGATAATGCCCTTCTTTACAGGGAAGATACCAAAAATTGTGTTGTTTACACAGTATACACATAAAAAGAATCTTCACAAACAGCGTTGAGAAAAGAATCAGTTGTTCCTTACTTTAGCCAGACTATTTTTAAATCAAAACCAATAACAAGCAGAGGAGGACTACGGCAGAGATTAATGTTCCTCCATGCTTTTCAGCTTTATAAAGCTACTTTTATAACATTCAAGCAAATTGTACAGTGACTGACATGAACAAAATGACAGTAATCTGTCACTATTTCACATTTCCCACTAGGCTGATTCGAATAGTTATTTATGAACCTTACACTTCAATGGTCACTTTGATGACTGTACCATAAATTAGAATGCAAAGTGAATATAAATTTGATTTTAGAGTAACAACAAATTGTCAGCAAAGTGGGGTATTATTTAATTTCTATCGACACGCTATGAAAAAGTCAGCAATACCAAGATGCACTACATCATAATAAACCCCAAACTTAGCAAAAAAAAAAAAGTATGCTAGATCACATGTTTGCTTCAGTGCTTCTGCATTTAGAAATAAAACCGCTTTGTATTATGCTTGGTTAGTTTTAAATAGAAAGTCTTAATAATGTCAGATGACTTAATTACTTAGATCTTCAATTAAACAGGGAGCAAGAATGAATTTTTTGCTACAGAGCATGACTAAATTTGACAGCAAGTAAATATTAATATGAATTTAGATACTAAGGTTTTTAATAGGCCTGATGAAATGCTTACTTTTAAGACAGGGTTCCTACTTTTCCAATATTTATCTCTTGTTTTACAGCTGAAAGTGAGATGATGCTGAAACATAATAGAAATTCTTCAAAGAACAACAGTTCTCAATTTTTTACAAAAATTTTTTTTTGGAGGGGGGTGGAGGGGGTGCACAGGAAATGACTCAAAAAAAGTAATCCCTATTACCCAAGCATCAAGTCTTACAGAAACTCATGTGTCAAGAGATCATCTTGCTAAACTCATTTTATCAGACTATTTTCTGTCGAAAACTTCCATTGCCTATTATGTTACTACATATATTACTGTCTGTTACTCCCACAAACACGTAAGATAAACAAGTACACCCTTCCAAACCGGAATGTAGCACGATTATACTTTGTCTGGAAAATTTCTAGAAGTGTGACATATGAGATACTTGAACGTAAGTTGCACTGTTTTAGCAGTGTTAAAAATGGAAAGTTGTGTCACTCTTGAATATTGCTTACTTTTCAAGTATATTTTTCCTGAAATTCTTACACAGAATCATACCAAAATGTGATCCAATTTAAAACTACTTTAGCTTTAGCAGACTGGCTTTGCATGTCGGAGAAACCTCTTAAATAGCTGAGATTTGAAATAGCAAACAAGGAAGCAAACCCCTGTAGGTTTAGCGATAACTTGAGTCCATTCCGCATTATTCTGGTATGTCCCAGTGACAAAGATATCCTCCAAGTAGCAAACACGTAACAGAAAGACAGGTACTTAATGTTGTTTGCTTGACAACAGTTCAATTAAAATGTATTTAAGATATCTGTATTAAACATCAGTTTTCTACGTTTGCAAAACTAAAGCGTATGTGGAGAGATCTTCATATTCTGAAAATTCAAGCAGTGCTATTGCAGGAAACTAGAACCCTACACACCCGTTTTGCTTCTGAACATCTTCCTGGCTGAAACATTCACACCTGCATGTAAAACATTCTAAAGCAAGATTTATGTATTATGTGGTGGTGTGAAATGTGCTTCTCTACAACTTCTCTCAATCTTGCCTCAAGAAAGGTATCTTATAAAAGTTTCTTTGCCATTACTACAAAGTAGCAAAATAGGGAAAAAGAAGTAGCAGATTAAAATGCTTCTGCTGGTGTAATGAAAAAAACAGAATGCAGGCCATGAGAAAACGGCAGAACTTGTCTAACCTTCTATTGCTGTCATTTTCTTGAATGAAGAATTAAATGCACCACGTTTTTACCAGTGCAAAATACAGGATGATATATGTTCATGTACAGGCTTGTTAGAGATACTCAGGTATGTACAGGCACATATATATGTTTATGTATGATCAAAATGTTCACTAGCAACCAATGAACACAAAACGTCCTTAAACCTGACTGCTCCTTTACAAAGGACAGTGAGTTGGTGTACCAGTCGGAGATTAACCAAGCCTGCCTGCTCTTCCTGCTCTTCCCAAGGCAGCTGAGAGACTTTTATGCTGAGGGACAATCTTCGGGATAAAAGAAAAGTTCATAAAAGGTGCAAGACAAGACACACACCCTAGAAGTGAAAGAATCTGACCTGTCAAGAGTTTGTTTCAGAGAAATGGTATCTTTTTGTGGGTCTACAGTAACAAGGTTATCTGTGGGTTCACAGGACTCAGACAGGAGAGAGGAGTTTTATTTTAAAATCTGTCCCAGACCTATGGTGGCTCAGATGAGTAAACATAACCATGTTTTGTCAAAAGAAAAGCTGTAAAGTTTTTATTTTAGCAAGACTTACCCACTATCTGACTTGGAACTCCCTTTTCTCATTTAGACATAGAATCAGCAAGAGTCAAATCCTATGCACATCAAATCAGGGTACCCTGCACATTAAGGTACTACAAATCAGCGTCCTCATTTCAGCATCCCAGATACCTACCTATAAAGCGGGAACAATATTTCCCGCTTATTTCAAGTAGTTTGATACCTTGAAATTGAACTCTTTTCACAAAAAGGAAGTACGTGCTATTATAAAAGAGTCATGCCAAGTAGGTCCTAGTTAAGATATTTTAAAACAAAATAAATGTAGTACACTTTTGTCATCCATTTCAGGGCAAAACAGTATATAAAATGTTTATATTCTTACTTACAACCATCACAGAACACTTTCTGACATGCTGACAGGAATTTAATCTCATCTAGATCGTGGCTGTAGCATTTTACTATGGAAGATCCCACATCCACCAATTGTTACTTCTTTGATGCTGGTTTCTCTAAGTGGCAGAATTTGACCCTATGCATTCTTATCTTTTGCCACCCCCTGTGAGGGATGCACTCCTGTTCGAACTAACTGAACTTTGATCCAGGCAGACATTCAGCAAGTAGACCTAATGGAAATTAATCCTACTGTGTGACGCTATCAGCAAGAACTCAGCACCAAACCAAAAAAACCCAAAAACCGGTTTGGCTGGAGACTGGGCTAATAAGCAGCTGAAACTACATTAACACAGCAGAAAATCTGACTATGAATCAACCACTTTATGCTGTCAGGGTCTGTTGAGCTCTCCCTCCATAGCAGCTGGCTGCAGGGCAGTAATCTCCCCTTGAGTAGGGACACCTCTCAAGGTTACCCCTCAAGGCTGAGATACCTTACCCGACACCAAACATTAATGGGTTGGTAAGTGACATTTTTTGAATGCAACATTTCAGATACGTATAGTAAGCTTAAGCATAACCCTTGCATCCCATACTAGCTTCAGATGTAGTAAATAGTATTGACCACCAACCCATCTGTACTTATTAAATATTTTACATACCTAAATTTACTGATTAGAACCCAATAAACTAACTACTAGTTCAGATCTGCAGAGTGGTCTCTGACTCTCCTCCTGTGACACCCCCCCCCCCCCCCCTCATTGTGTCCTCTAGCCTCTAATACTTCCCTGGAGAATACTGGATATCAAGGCTTTCCAAGATAAAACCTCAAAAAGAAGATCTGAAAACGCTACTCATCACCTACAGATATGAGAAAAAACATCCCAAAGTTTAAATATAAGTGCATCGAAGCAATCCAATCTGAATTGCTTGTTTGAGAAACACTTTTAAAATACAAAAATAGCAGTGTTTGGGTTAAGAAAATGATAGCAAAGCTACGAGAGCACAAAACACCACCTGTTCCTCAGAGGAGAAATTCCAAAGAAATAATTTAACTTGCACCAAAATAGTCATACTTAATTGCCAAATCAAAGGACCCAGCTCCCTACGGAAATAAGAATCCAGCTAACTGACCTGCTGGTTGTTAAAAGAATCATATTAAAACAGAGCATGGAAGAAAAGATGCACATATTCATTCAATATTTAATAAAAGTACTACTGAGCTCTGACTGGTGTCAGTAAGGGCAGATTTTACAAGGAGGGACAGCTTAAGCATTCCAAGTGCCCCTAGAGAGCTCAGGCATAGAAGCTTCCTTTCTTCATATTGCCAGTGGTCACTGTAGACAGTCAGTGGGTATGTATGAGAAGTAATAAACTATCTAAAGTTCAGCGAAGTACAATTCATGTCTAAATAATACAGTACATAGGTGAAAGGAACAGAGATTCTATAAATGCTACTCAGACAAGGTCAGAGAAGAATATTGCCAGTGACTCAAATTTTTCCAAAGAAAAATCTATCACCCTGTTCGGACACATTTAGCCAGCATTTACTTAATTCACTTCAGGATTTTCTTGTTCTGCTACTGTTCTAACACTGTATCTGGAGGTGGGGAAAAGCAAACACAGAAGGCAAGACTATACGGAGTGAATGTCACAGCCACTCTTCTAAACCTACAATGGAAGGAGGAAAGCATGAGGAAAGGAATCTCATACACATGAGGAAACAGATTCAAAGGAAAATTAGGGCAGATCAGAGAAGTAGAGTGATGAGATAGTAAAATAAACAGAAAAAAAGGTAACAGAAGAACGTAGAAATTTTTGACAGCAAGGCCTGTTCCGGTTAATTGAATAAACACCCCTAAATCCTCTATTGCAACCATCATGGGTAAACAGATGTTTCCCACCCTCTCAGACACAGACATACAAAAACTACTGTTCATCTAGAGATGTTTTGAGCAGAGATCTATTTTTTCCATCTGTAGTGGCATAAAACAGTTAACTGAGGAGTATACAACTCTCAGACAAAATGAGAGAAATATACATACCTGCCGATGAATAACCTCTAGGTTTGCTTTGGCTTTATTCACTAGTTCTTCTATTTTTTCAGAATCCTTTATATTCTTGTTTTCTCTGAAGGCATCTCTTATCCTTCTGATGGCATATGTTCTAAACACAAACAATAAGATGACATGTTCATAGATGTGCCATGGTTTATGACATTTCAACATTCTCTAAAACATGCTATTTTTTTAAAATAAAAATACACACACACATATTTTGCCCAGTTTTATACATACATCTTTTTATTCAGGGTTTTGTCTTGCCTGAATTGAAACAGTGACCAGATTCTTTCATTAAAAAAGTGCTTTTACTGGAAGCTATTGTAGAAAAATTTCATATTTCACCTATCAGTTCAGTCCTTACAGCTTGTTATTGCTGTAAACGTACTGTTGGATGTCCAGCATGGATACTGCAAAGCTCAAGAACACAACAAAAAGCCTAAGAACCAAAAAATCATCCCCCAAATTATTCTGAATCAGTGTGACTATTCTTATTCTGCATGCTCTAAAGGTCACTGAGCTAATGACTAAATACGTCTTAAGTTACTAACAGTTCTGACTTTGCAATCTAGTAGTCAAAGGTAGACTAATGGACCAACCACAACAAAAAGGGCTCCTTCCATGTCACTCCTTTCCTCTCCTGACAAACTATATTTCACCCCTCAGTCCAGCACCTCCTCATCCAATTTCCTCACTAAGAAGCAGTAACAGGACACAATCTCTGCAAGTAGGAAGAAGTTATGATCTCTGCTTTCAGAGAGGAAGGTCCAAAGCTGCAGCTATCTCCAAAACTCTCCCCTTTCTTTTCAACCCAGTAAAGATCCTTTATGCAGGCTGTAGTGTATACTGCTCAATAAAAAAATAGGGTCAATTTCAATATTTAAATAAAATTTTCAGACTAAGCAGTAGATACTTTCATTACACACATGCTTGGGAGGGGCAGGAGAAATGGCAGTAAACTGATCCTGCTCAGCCATCTTGATAATGTCCCACTTCTCTATCACCACATCATATCAGTATCATTTTTACTACAGAAAGTAAAACCCTCTGTGCCGCACTGGAAGGAAAACAAAGGCTGCTGCAAACACCACAAATAGTGTCATATTTCAACAACTGTTTTCAATCTTGTATAAAAGTGAAACACAAGGCACAAAATTGTCTGAAACAGGATCATAAAAAACTCCAAAGACTATGTTGAAAAACAAAAATATTGGGGGAGGAGACTGAGGAGGGGAGAGGAAGAAGAAGAGGGATGAACGAATAGCCAGCAGCACTCCATACCGTTAGATGGTGCTATCCAGCTCTTCATGCAGCCTCCACCAGCCAAGCAGAATATTTTCTCTTTAAGCTCATAAATAATACATTTCAGCCTTGGGAATCAGGATGGTTATGGAGTGCCACCATGCTGCCGCACACTGGCAGATGGTGCGTGCTTTTAATTAGGGCCTGTTCACCTATAATGTGACACTGGGATGCGTGAGTGAGTGAGTGTGTGTTTGCATGTGTGAAGTTAATAGAATATATTAAATATGGAAGCACATTGTTATCTGCAGCTGCTGTCCTAGCAAGATTTGAAGGGGAAGCTGTTTATTTCTTCTAGAAAAGAAACAACCCTAAATCATTAAGATGAAGTGTAATTTTGTTGCTTGATAATGGATGGATTTCAAATCACCCCATATACATATGAGGGGTTAAACAGTGCAGAAACATGTAATATTTTCTGCAAGAAAGGGAAGGTTTCCAAATGATACAAAGACCTTAAAGATTTTTAAATTTTTTTTTTAGCTTAAAAAAAAAAAAAATCACAACAACAACAAACAGCAAGTATCCATTACTGGGTACAAGTCTTTCAAAACGCAATACAAATGAGTAAATGCTTTCTACATAAAAAAAGATAGGTGGGACTAAACCAAATTCTTTTTCAGTGTAACACCTACAAACTGGTGGGGGTTTTTTTGTTTTGTACATATGGTGCACTAATTGTTCCATTTTCTCTCTTCCTCTCATTACACCCAACAGTTGTTCAGAAAGAAAAGCTACGTACTTAGAAGACATCATCAGACCAGATTTTATCTACAGTCAGAAAGTTGTATTATTTTTTCCTTTTACTATTTGTTTAAACCTTTATGAACATTGATACCCAAATGAAATTACTTTACATAGGTTTTAACACAATCTTAGTTCTACAGCTAAATCAATACATCTCCAGTATTCTCTAAACACATTTCAAAGTCTGGTACTACTCTTTACTAAGGTTACACTGAGATTCAATATATCACTTAAAATCACGATGAGCTGAACTCAAAGCTCAAACCCAATACTATAATGACTGTAAAACATCCTTTCTTCCATATTGAGAGGTGCCAGGGCAACGTTGCACCAACCCTCAAAATCTTTCAAAATTACATAAAAATTGTTAAGTCAAGATATAAACAAACTGGCAGTTTTGGGGCGGCTTTTTTTTTTTTTAAAAAAAACCAACAGCTTTTCATATGGAACAACAGTTGTGAGCAGTGTCAATACCAAAACTCAGTATTCTCTACGCTTCAGGAGTATGCACCAAAAGCTAGTACTAAAATCGGGGCTGCGATATTGCTGCAAGTCTACGAACAACCAAGTTCTTTTGGAAGTACATGTAATAAAGATATCCATGAAAAGAAAAGAACTTGTTCATTCAGACATATATCTGTCGGTTTTTTTGAAGAGCACTACTTCAGAGATCTTCCGGTTGATGAACAGGCTGATCAGCTGATCAGCTACTCTAATGGTGTGTATTTTCAGTTCAATAAGCATAAACTCCAAAACTAATTATGTACAATTTACAGGCACAGCTCAAAATGCCAGTGGCAGAGAATATAGGGCTGTCTTCACAAAACCTCCCAACATTAAACTAAAAGAAGCACTATTTGAAGACAGTGGCAGATGAAAAGAATACCAGCAAGTGAAACGGTTGCTGTACCCCATGGATAATTATTTACCCAAGCTGGCACAAAAAAACCAAGGGCATACAGCATTGCAACAAGTTTAAGCCAATGTGAGTGAAGGAGAGCTGGTGCCATTTTGCCATCCTCCCTGGTAGGCACAAACCCTCCCTCTACCCCCTTCAGATCAAGACAGCCAGTCTGATATTTGGCCCTGAGGTGAGCCAGTCCAACTTGGTAATGTGACAGAGGGCCAACCTACTAAAAGAGTTAACTTTTTTTTGTTGTTGTTTTGGCTTTTTCAGGATTAGCGAGCTCTATCGACTCTGAATGAGACCGGATGAGCATTCGTGCTGAGGAGGTGGGATACAGCAGTACTGATTTAGACTGGTACAGTTTGCAATAGATCCCACTCAGAGGCTAAGCAAGCTGCTTAACAAAAGGGACTCCTCAGTGAGAAGGTACCATGCAAGCTCTCCAGAGAAATAGAATGGGAATGCAATTCTGCACACAGTACACTCAAATTCTCCTACAGACCTTTGGAAAAGGTCCTAGGAATGCAAGCGTCCTCTCTACGAAACATTATTGCAATCAAAGACTCTAACTGCATTTGACAACCTACTATTTTTTTCACCATTCTCTGGTGAAAAATGGCTGAAAGATACAACAAAGCATTTTCTTTTCTTTCTGTCATCCAAGCACACTGAAATTTTAATAGAGAACACCTTTGATTTTTCCCTTCTGTGAAGATCTTCTAGCAAGCTAGTGACACAGCAGAACCCAAGCAAGAATGTACAGCTGAACATATTCACTCAGCACTCTCTTACATATGCACACTTAAAACACTTTTCGTGATGCCTACTTACGTGCATCTGTCACACAATTAACTCTCAATTAAATGAAAAGTATGTACTCAATGGGTAACAGACTCAGTGCGATGGCTTCAGACCAAAGCCGCCGCAGGCGGATGGCTACACAAGGTAACAGATGCACATCAGTAGAAAATAGCAAGTAGTTGAGGGTTAATGAGAGAACAATGCCAGGGCCAAAACACTACCACAGACTCACAGTGAATGGGCACTACCTGCTAATGTTAAGAAGCAACAATGCCCCCAAATAATAGTAAACCCCACAGAGTTATGGTTACAAAACAGTCTTTTTCCTAATACTCAGTCATTCACCTCTACCTTTGAAGAGTTCATCTTTTTCCTTCCCCGAAGCACAATCAAAAACCTAACATGTGTCCTCATAAAAATGAAGCCTACAAGAAGCAAAGTCTGAAACAATGGCTATTAAGGAAAAATGAAATTGCAACAGAGGTACTTCAGAAAATCATAGCTGCTTGGGGGGTTAGATATTTTTATTTCAAAATGTTTACTTATGTCATGCCTGACCAGAAAATAATAAAAAAATGTTTTCCTTTTCAATTCTTCACTCTCATATCTTTGTGCTCTGCTAAACTACAGTGGAAGAAAAGAAGCTGAAACACCATGCAGATATACTTGCTTCTAAGTACACAGTAGTATGCTTTCAAAATAAACCTGCCCAAGCAACGTTTTTCTCAGCACCACTTTGCATTTACCAGTATCGCAACATGCCAAAGGTTTAAGTTATCTTTCCAGGACAACTTCACAAATATGTTGACATCTTGTCTTTGTGATTGTGAACAAATATAATGTATTAACGGATCACATCGCAGTTACAGGCTACATACTGCAAAACATAACTCCTATTACAAATGTTAAGTCATTGAGCACACACGCAAAGACAGAAGAGAAGGATTGTGCTATGCAACCTATGCAAGCAAAACAGATCACAAGGGCAGAGGCCAGCAGGTTAGAATATTCAAGACCAAAAAAGGTATAAAGTAAAATGTATTTTTCCTTACTAGCTTAAGTTGTATTTAATCAATTAAGGCAAGCGATCTGTAGCCAACCTTAGGAAGCCCACCGTGGCTTATAATTCTGAAATGAAATATATGATACTTTTATTCAAGAACACAATGTGCAAAAGTGAGATACTGACCATACAGTAACGTTATATCAAGTGGAGGATCCTTTTTATAGGTCATTGTTCCCTTTCAGTAACACTATTTTCTTACCACTTCTCCCTTCCAATTAACATCTATTAACTTAGAGTAGCAACAGCATGAATTTTCACAATTTCCCACTACTACTAGCAAAAT